TGCACAGTGAAATCTCCTGTTCACCCACTGCCTGACTGGTACCTGCTGCTGTGTCTCTGCTCCTGGTCAAATCAAACAGACCAACAGGACAACAGTTCTTTGTCTGAGTTCACCTCCTGAACTCCCAGTAAATATCCCTTCCTACCTTGTTGCTGGTAGAGTTCCAACTGCCGGTGCAGTTCAGATCGCTGTTCGTTGAATGCCACTGGTGTATCAGTCACTGCAACACCACACCATTGTATCTGCTGCTTTCCTGTGTCTGTTAGTCTCCAGGTGCCCCTGTGCTATCTTTCTGTCCTTTCCTATTTTCTGGAATATTCCCTCTCTGCTTCACACCGGCTAATGTTTCTCTGTTTAAACATGTCCTTACCCTATTCTGCCATCTTGATTTTCATCATATGCGTGTTTTTAAAAAATTTAGTCTTGGGCCCAGCATGTTGGCTCAGTGGCTAAATCCTTACCTCACATGCACCAGGATCCCATATGGTCACCTGTTTGTGTCCCAGCTGCTCCACTTGCCATCTAGCTCCCTGCTTGTGGCCTGGTAATGCAGTAGAGGACAGCCCAAGGCCTTGGGACTCTGCACCTGCTTGGCAGACCATGAAGAAAATCCTGGCTCCTGGTTTCACATCAGCTCAGTTCTGGCTGTTATGGCTACTTGAAGAGTGAAGCAGAGGACCAAAGATCTTTCTCTCTGACTCTCCTCTCTAAATCTGCCTTTCCAATACAAATAAATAAACAAGCATAAGAAGCTAAAATGATTGACATTCAGTTAAAATCACAGAAAAATTTCAGGTTTTACAATATTGTTTTTGTTATTATTTACTTCATTTTTAGTTTTACTTGTTTATGATCATACAATTGTACAATATAGATTACTGAGAAAACAAGAAATGCTTTTGAGAGGCAAGAGCCGGGCAGAGAGAGAATCTTTTATGTATTGGTTCACTGCCTAAATGGGTACCCTGGCCAGGGCTGGGCCAAGCTGAAGCCAGGATGCTAGAATAGATGGATGGTGGGGCTCAGCGCAGAGATACTTGGGCCTTGTCCTGCTGCCTTTGCCGGCACATCAACAGGAAGCAGGATGGGAAGTGGAGTAGCGCAGTCTTGAACTGTTGCTCCAGTATGAGAGGGCAACGTTCTAACGGTGACTTCATGCCAGCCCAAACTGAAATTCAAAAAGCCTGGAATAACGAAGAGGTGCTGTTATTTCCTTCCATCATAGATGAGAACCAAATGAGTCGATCAGCTGAGAAGCTGTTGGTTGAACATCTGGGCTGCCCTGACTGCGAGGTCCCAGCAGGCTCTGACCACTTAGCTTCTGCTCTTGTCTGTCAGAGCTAGCTCATTCTTCAGAACGACACAGTTAAGTGGGAGGGTGCCTTTCATTGGCTCTGCTGCTGTGATTACAATACTGATTTTCATCTATGCAGATATTTTTTGAAATATGGTCAGTAAGCTTTCATAGTCCCTCATCCCTTTCAATATAATTGATTTTGAAATTTGCTTTTAAATTTTAGCATCGTTCATTATAGAAACTTTGAGGCATCAGGAAATTGTCTCGAGTTTTCATTGTTTTAATAAATGATGTGCATCACTTCTTGGCCCTTTGGCTAAGATCAAGTGTAGTATCTGTTCTTACCAGTTTAATAAATGATGCGTATATATCACTCTGGCCACAGAGTCATGAATTGAAGGAAATACTCCAGACTTAACATTTTAAAAATTTGTTTTAAATGTATGTATTAATTTTTTTGAGGGAAAAGAGAGGAAGTAAGGAACGGGGCGGGGAGGGAGAGCACACGCTCCCCCATCTACTCGCATGTTCGTCAGATTCCCACAGCTGGGCTCAGGAGGCATCAGCACTGTGTGCCAAGAGGCTGTGTCAGGCGCAGGGCGACAGTTACCATTCCTCTGGTGGCCCTAGCCATAGACTGCTGCATTTCACATGCTGTCTCGAGGGTGGTAGCAGGCCTTTGTTGTTGTTCTTCATTGGTGATGGAGAGTTGTGTCCTTGTTCTTGGGCTTTGCTCCTAAAGTTGACATTGATTGTATCTTCTTGGTTACATAAAGGTTTTGCCTTTTTAAATTTTTGATGATCAGGGTGTTGATTCAGTGTGTTATATCAGAAAGTTCATGAGACAATATGATTCATTTTGCGGATAATCAAGGTTTCTCCACCATAAAGTACCATTTCTCCTTTGTAATTACGAGGTAGTTTTGGGGACTGCTGTGGCAGAACTGGTAAAGCCAGCACTGGAGGTACCAGCATCTCCTGTGGTGCTGACTCACTCCAGGTCAGAATTTCAGGGAATGTCCCTGGAAAAGAAGTGCTGAGCCCCTGCTCCCAAGTGGGAGACGAGGAAGAAGGTGACGGCTTCAGCCCGGCCCAGCTCCAGTGCTTGGGGGAAGATCTTACCCTGCTCCACCTCCTCAAGCCTTGCCTTGTAAATAAATGAGAAATATTTTAAAGATTTATGCCCTGCCTTTTAAATAAATGAGTAGTTTTTAAAGATTTATTTATTTGTAGTGGAAAGGCAGATTTACAGAGAGAAGGAGAGGAAGATCTTTCATCCACTCCCCAAGTGGCCACAGTGGCAGGAACTGACCCAATCTGAAGTCAGGAGCCAGGAGTCTTTGTTGGGTCTCCCATATTGGTTCAGGATTCCAAGGTTTGGTTCACCCTCTACTGCTTTCCCAGGCCATATACAGCAAGCTGGATGGGAAGTGGAGCAGGTGGAATATGAACCAGTGTCCATAAGGGATCCCAGCACTTGCAAAGGGAGGATTAGCCACTGAGCCATCAGAGCAGGCCCTGATTTTGTAATTTTAAGAACAAAGAAGGGGCCAGTGTGGTGGTGTAGCACTCTAGTCTTCCAGTTGCCAGTACCAGGATCACATATAGGTGCCACTTTCAGTCTAGCTCCCTGTGTGTGGTGTGAAAAAGCGGAGGGTGGCTGACACGAAGCTCCCAGCTCCCAACTGTGGATCGGCTCAGCTGTGGTATTGAAGCCTTTTGGAAAGTGAGGTAGTGGGTGGAAAACCTATCTTTCTTTCTCCCTGTCTCTCCCTTTTTTTCCAAGCCTGCCTTTCAAATAGAAACAAATCTTTTTAAGAAAAAGGAATGATGATTATACTTTAGACAATCTGCAACTAAAGTTTAGTGGGATTTTATGTAGCTTTTCTTAGACTGACCTGCATAAAGCAGGGACCAAGCCCCGCCCCCTGGCCCCCTGCACACGCGTTGGAGGTCTTTCCTAGTTTGTGTCAACCAGCTCTACCGAAGAGCCTGTGCTGTCAAGCCTTAAACGGCTTCTCTCTGCACATTCCGCTACGTGATTTCTGAGTTTGACCCTCTGTCTCCTGATCACTGTTGGGTTGATGCAGAACTGCTTAATCTTCCTACAACCATGAGGTATGGAATTGTTGCAATAACTTGGTTAATTTTTGAAAATACTTTTTCAAAAAAGGTTTTTATTTCTTTGAAAGACAGAGTTGGCGGGGGTGGGGGGAGGGAGGGCGGGGCGGGTGGTGAGAGATCCTCCATGCCGTGCTTCTGTTCCTGAATGACCACGGCTTGCCAGGCCAAAGCCAGGAGAGCGAGGTTCTTTCCTGGTCTCTCACGTGCTGGTAAGGCCCAAGCACGTGGGCTGTCTTCTGCAGCTTTCCCAGGTACATTGCAGAGGGATTGTATCAGAGATGCAGCAGCTGGTGCTAGAGTTGGCGCCTGCTTGGGATGCTGCACCACGATGCCAGCTCCTGAACCCAGTTGCTGTTTCTCATTCAACGTCTTGCACTTAAATCTTGTTTGCCCTGGCATCTTCCTTATCCCTGCTGTCAGTTTCCTGGTGTCTAGCCTGGGTAGGAATGCAGTCACTGTTCTGCTTGCGATGCCATGGAGGCTTGAATTGATCTTTAGTTTCTCTGAAGAGAGCATAGTAATCATTAAGAATGGCAAGTCATGGAATGGGAGGAATTAATTACTGTTTATAACAAGGAAGTTATATACATATGCAGAATATAAAAGAATGGTCCAATTCATAAAGAGTGACTAGAGAAAAACAAATGCAGTGGGAAAAAAATAGAAACATTTTGCGAAATAGTATTTTGAAGATAACCGACCAACATGTAGAGATAAAGGAAGTGCTAATCCAGGTCAGCATGTGCTGTTGGAGTGCGCCCATGCGTGGCGAGCAGGAGCGCGGAGGTGCGTCCCTGCCGGCCTCTGCACACTGCTGCGCTCTCCAGGGCCTGCTCAGCGCACGGATACGTTCCCTGCAGACAGTGGCTACACAGCAGGTGTGTCCGCAGCAGAAATGTGCATGTGTGTTACCAGAAGACGTAAAGGCTAATCGCAGGGTGGACACCCAGAGCAAGAATGTTAAGAGATCATTCGTTGAGAGTGGTTTTTTTTTTTTAATCATTCTTGAAGCTTTTCTTCTTGAGCATTTCAAATGCATTATTTTTTATGCTGAAAATATGGATAAGATAAAATTATTCATAGTAGCACTATTACTAGTTGTCACCAAGTAGAAGCAAGTCATTGATCAGTGAAGTACTGTGGGGCAACTGGGCGTGTCATACAGTGCGGTGTGTTTTTGGCTAGGGACAGATAGCAGCCCCTCGCTGGGATGGCTCTCATAGGTTCATGAGTGAAGGGGAGGCAGCAGACGCGCGAGGGCAGGTTTGCTGTAGGCAGTGTAGAGTGGAAGCCTGTGGGCGATGGGCGTGTAACGGTCGGGGTGCAGAGCGAGCCGCGGGTGTAGCCTGCCGGCATGCTGGCCCCTGCAGCACCCTGAGCCGTAACATACCAGAGACACTGAAGTTCTTTTTCCTGTGCTGAAAATAAAAAAATTTTATTTAAAATTAAATTTGCTTTTCCCTATTCTAAAAATAATTTCCCAAAGCAATTGTTAATTCTGCTGTCACAGTAATACTGTATAATGATTGTCTGTGAGTTATTTCTTCCTAATTGTTCTATTTTGTGAATTATGTTTTAGATACGAATTGAGAATTCGTTATTTGCCGAAAGGATTTCTTAACCAGTTTACTGAAGACAAGCCAACTCTGAATTTCTTCTATCAGCAGGTATAAAGGATGCTTTACTATGCTTTCTGTGAATGTCAGTTGTATTCATGACACGTGTTTACTTAGAACTAACCCTGATGTAAGGCCTATCTCAGGAAGAAAGAAACTGAATTTTTGACACTTTTATATGCTTGAGCAAAGTTATTATTTGTATTTTACCTGAAAGGTAGAAAAGGTTTTCCTTCAGCAGATTTACTTTCCAAGTGCTCACCTTCACCAGAGCAGAGCCAAGGGGAAGCCAGGAACTTGAAGGTGAGTCTGGATCCGCTTCTTAGGTGCCAGTAACTCAAGTGCTTGAACCACCATTGCGTGCCTCCCAAGGTATGCGTTAGCTGAAAACTGGATTAGGAGGGGAGGGTGGGGGCTGGTGCTGTGGTATAGTGGGTGAAGCCACCACCTGCCGTGGTGGTATCCAGTGGGCATTAATTTGTGTCCTGGCTGTTACCCCTTTGATCAGGCTTCCTGCTGATGGCCTGGAAAAAGCAGTGGATGGTAGCACAAGTGTTTGGGCCTCTACCACCCATGTGGGAGACCTAGAAGAAGCTCCTGGCTGTTAGATTCTGCCTGCCCAGCCTTGGCCATTGTGGCCACCTAGGAAGAACTCTCTGTGTGTGTCTCTTTCTGCAACTCTGACTTTCAAATAAACAAATACATCTATTAAAATGGAAAGAAAAAAGGAAAGAGAAGAGAAGGAGAAGTAGACGATCCGAAATGAACTGGGCTGACCCACATCAGGTGCCGGTGTCCCTACTGGCAGCTTAATCCCAGTACCAGCCACCAGCCCTCAGGCAAATTATTGGAAAGGTAATACTAACCAAGTGTAGCTATCACGTCTGAATATCAGCCAGTGTGTCTTATGTAGAGATTCCTGACAGAGCCAGCAATGGTAATATAATCTTGATAGGGTTTGCATAAGAAGCAGAAAATGACTTTATACTGCGTACTTGAGCTCTACACTGCCTTTCCCAGTCTGAACTAGCAGGCAGCTGAAGTCGGGCAGAGCTGTCCTCTCCTGCGTGTCACCCAGCAACTAGCTGGATCAGCCTCAGGCCCCAGAATGGTGTTTGTTTGTTTGTTTAAGTGAGACCACTCTGCCAAATGACAATATTTTATAGCAAGTTTGGAGACTCTCAACTTGGTCTTATAAAGATTTACAGATGTAGGGCCTGGCACGGTAGCCTAGTGGCTAAAGTCATTGCCTTGCACGCACCGAGATCCCATATGGGTGTCAGTTCTAATCCCAGCAGCTCCACTTCCCATCCAGCTCCCTGCCTGTGGCCTGGGAAAGCAGTCGAGGACGGCCCAAAGCTTTGGGACCCTGCACCCACGTGGGAGACCCAAAAGAGTTTCCTGGTTCCCAGCTTCAGATCAGCGCAGCACCGGCCGTTGCGCTCACTTGGGGAGTGAATCATCGGACGGAAGATCTTGCTCTCTGTCTCTCCTCTCTGTATATCTGACTTTGTAAAAGGAAAAAAAAAAAAAAAAGATTATCCATGTACCAGCACAGTAGTACGCAAGCTTAGTGAATGAATTCGATACGACTCACATTGACCTTCAGTGGCAAATGGAAATAATGCCTCCTGTGTGAGTCTAGGCCGCTGGTGCCACGGACGAGCATTGTGGGTTAAATCTGCCAGAGCAAGGTCAGAAGGTCAGTTTCTTTAGTGGCAGTAATGCTCCTTGCTGCCGCCCGCACAGCAGAAGGCAGAAAGCTTGCGTGGGTTTCAGCTCTTGGGGGAGGGGGCAGTATCTTCTCTTGTGTGAAGGCTGAAGTCCTACAGGGAATGTCAGGCAGAGTTGGGCAATTTTTCTTGTTTAAGATTTATTTATTTTTGTTGGAAAGGCAAACTTACAGAGAAGGAGTGGCAGGGAAAGATCTTCCATCTGCTGGCTCACTCCCCGGAGAGCCAGACCTAAACATTTCCAGGAGCTTCTGTTTCAGCTCTCGCCCTTAAACCCTGCTGTGCTGCTTGCCCGGGCCACAAGAGGGAGCTGGATGGGAAGCGGAGCTGCTGGGGTTAGAACCGGCGCTGTGTGCCATCACCAGCGCGTTCAAGGCCACTGCACCAGGCCCTGATTGACACTTATTCTTGGATTCGTAAAATCTGTGATAGCTGATGCAAGCATGTAAGAGACAGTCTTATGTGTAACCATATATTTTCATGGCATGCTGTGCTCAAGCAAGCCTTTTTTTGAAGGGTTTGAAATTTAATGGGCACTGATTTTTTCAGTTGTTTAGTTCTTTAACATCTTGTGCCTGCAGCTTCTTCTTTTTTCATTTTCTTTTAAATATTTCTGCAGTTGAGAGGACTGTGGGCCTCTGGTTAGGGTTGGGAAGGTCTGATATGAAGGAAGATGGTTGGATAAATATTTCAGTTGTTTTAAATCCTGTATTCACAGAGGAAAAGTGGGAGAGGTTGCAGCTTGCTGTCGTACTGCATCAGCACGTGGGGTGTGGGGTGGTCAGTGAATGACACTGAGGTACCTCGGTGTGGGGAAGTGTTCAAGGGTGTTATTGGAGTAGTTCTGATACCCGAGAAGTTGGTTTGCCAGGAGGGTTGTGCTCCAGCTAGGCAGTCCAAGCGCCTTGCTGCCCGGGTGAGCTGGCTGTCCTCCCTGTGAGCATCTGTCCACGGCACGGGCTTCAGGCGACTGGGGAGGCGCTCCAAGGTTTGACCACACATCCTCTGCTCTTTCCCTGTGGCCGGAGTCCGAGTCCAGTGCGGGGAACTCCCCTAGAATACGTGTCTGGGGTGACCTCAGACTTTTTTGTTGCACCAGCCAGTACAGGGTCAAGTTCATTCCATCACTTCCACCAGACACCGCACTTACCAGTGGATGCAGCAGCCTAGTAGTTCTGCCCCACCCTCACCATCGACCTCGTGCAGACTGATGGATGCTGCAGCCTAGCACAGCCAGCCTGGCCTAGGTCCGATACTCATTCATAGCAGCCTAGTGGGCACCACCCCTAATCTGTACCAGGTGTGCCCCAGCCCTGGTTTTTGTGCTTACTAGCCTCAGTTTTTTTGTTTTGTTTTGTTTTGTTTTCGTGGCATATTGAGTGATTCAGTTCAAGTTAATGCGATGTGTGATGCTATGCATAAGGAACAGGAGGATGTGTTGCTTGTCAGTGTTAACACAGAAGTTAATATTTACACAGTGCCCTGCTTGAATGGGCACTTTGTTTCTCATGCTCCCCGCTCATTGATTCAGTACTGATCCCCAGGTAAGGATGCAGAAAGAAAGAGCTTGAGAGGCAGTGGCCCACACTGTCAGCTGCCAGGCACGGCAACACTCCCACCCTGAGAGAAGGAGCGCGTCCATTGAGTGTGCACACCTGTCCTAAGCCCTTTGCTGAGCTGAAGAGAGTTCCTGTCTAATGCCTTGTAACTTCTGTATAAGAAGAGATATGGGGCCCGGCGGCATGGCTTAGCAGCTAAAGTTCTCGCCTTGAAAACGCCGGGATCCCATATGGGCACCAGTTCTAATCCCAGCAGCTCCACTTCCCATCCAGCTCCCTGCTTGTGGCCTGGGAAAGCAGTTGAGGACGGCCCAAAGCTTTGGGACCCTGCACCTGTGTGGGAGACCCGGAAGAGTTTCCTGGTTCCCAGCTTCAGATCAGCGCAGCACCGGCCGTTGCGCTCACTTGGGGAGTGAATCATCAGACAGAAGATCTTGCTCTCTGTCTCTCCTCCTCTCTCCGTATATTTGACTTTGTAATAAAAATAAATAAATCTGTTTTAAAAAAGAAGAGATATGGTATGTTGGTGAAAAAAGAAGGAAATTACGTGTTGGGGAACTTCTGAGACGAGTACTGTTGGATTCCCAGATGTTTTTAAGTGGCTATTTTAGACTTGTGGGTAAGGTTCCCCTGATGTTTTTTCAGCTGCCCGGCAGTAAGCGCAGAAAAAGAGGATATAGGTTCAGCAGAGACTGTTCTAACTGAACACTGCAGTGCAGGGTTATAGGGCACAAGGAACATTGGGTTTTTGAAAGAGAAGAGTGTTGTGAGGAACCATGAAGCCTGAGGCAGACTTAGCTAGGTTGGTGTGATGTGGGGATGGAGATGTTGTGCAGCAGGGTCTGGCTGGCCAGGCAGTGGTGTTCATGGAGTCTGGCTGGCCAGGCAATGGTGTTCATGGAGTCTGGCTGGCCAGGAGATGGTGTTCATGGAGTCTGGCTGGCCAGGAGATGGTGTTCATGGAGTCTGGCTGGCCAGGAGATGGTGTTCATGGAGACCGGGGCAACGGTTAGTATACTCTCTCTGTAAAGGAGCCAGGCCCTAAATGCTTGAGCCTCTGAGGACAAAGAGGCAGTGTTGAGACAAGTGTAAAACTGCTTACATAACAAGAGAAAATAACTTTTTAATAGAATTCATGTTTTGATTAAGTGTCCTTTTTTGTAAAATAGATGTACTAACAAGGCCAGTGGGATGCTTTTTATAGTTAGAGTGAGTACTCTGGGGCAAGCTTTTAAACAAGTAAATATACGTAGTCATTAAAGTAAACACATACATGTGTGTATAACTTATTTATTTGAAGCACAGATTTATATAGAGAATTTTTTCTATCTGCTAGTTCACTTCCCAATGGCCACATTTGTGGCTGGGCCAGGCTGAAGCAGGAAGCAGGAACTTCATCTGGGTCTTCCACGTGATACAGTGACCCAAGGAGTTACGTCATCTTCTGCTTCCTGAGGTTTTAGCAGAGAGATGAACTGGATGTGCTGCAGCCAAGACTCAAGCTGCTGCCCATCCTGGGATGTTGGCATTGCAGGGGCCGGCTTAATCCATTATGCCACAGTGTTGGCTCCTGGGACATGCTGTTGGTCACCACAGGTGGGGATGGCTGTGTATCATACCAAGTGCCAGTTTTTGTCCTGGGTCCTCCAGTTCTGATCCACTTCCTGCGGCTGCATTCTGGGGGACATAGTAAGATGGTGAAAGTGCTTAGGCCACTGCCAGCTCTTCCTGTTGGAGGTGTTTGAGGGGTGATACAGCAAACAGAAGATCTGTGTTTCAAGTAGATAAAAATATAGGAATAAAATGAGAGCTCTGTCGAATCAAAGTCAGTTACATATTTTATCCGTTAATGCCAATCTGTAAGGAGATTGTACATTTTTCATCTGTAAAGTTGTCCACCACCCTCCTAATCATATTCATCACTCAGAAGGCCTTTCTAGAATTCTGTTAGATTCGTCTCTTTCCGCTAGGCCTCAGGTATGTTATTACTTTGCAGTTTAATCACTTACAATTGATGGTTAGGTGAAACCTGTTGGGTGAGGTGAGTTTCGTAGTATGTCAGTCCCTCTTGCCCTTGTTTGGAGGGTGAAACTGCTGGTGGACTCGGGCTCATTTGCTGTTAGTCGTGGAAATAGAGGTTATTTTCTTTTTCTTTGAATGGGAGGCAGTAAAACACCTTCTGCTTGAGATGTTATATTTGCTTCTTTATGTCCCACTACGTTAGTCACGGGCTCTTTGAGCGTGTCTTCGTAGGTCCCGTTTTATCTGTATCTGGTGTGGTGCACGAGTGTGTTAGGTAGTCGGCCAGCGGGGTTGGACCAGCACGCCTCACACACCGTGTTTGATTGCAGGTGAAGAGTGACTACATGGCAGAGGTGGCTGATCAGGTGGACCAGGAAATCGCTTTGAAGTTGGGTTGTCTAGAAATTCGGTAAGCTGCTAACTTTGTGTTTTGGTTTTATTCATTACTTTTTTTCTTTGTGGAATTTCTGGCTATTTTTCATAAAAATTATCAGTAAAATGTTGCATAAGATTTGAATTCTGAATCATGTGATTTGCTTAACTACATCTCAACCCAGTTTTTATCATTTAAACAACAACATAGACATGAGTCCTGTATGTCTTCGCTCATTGCAGGAGATCCTACTGGGAGATGAGGGGCAATGCGCTGGAAAAGAAGTCCAATTATGAAGTGTTAGAGTAAGTACTGTGCAACTTTCAATAGAGAAGAGGGAACGTGGTTTTTCTTTTAATTAATTGAATTTTATTTTATTATTTTTCTCTTCTGTTTATTTTCATGGTACATTGCATAGACTTAGGAATTTCCCCTTCCGTCTCGCCTGTGAAGTTTTAAAAAATCTTTTTGACTTTAGTTATATTAGCAAATATATAAATTTGTTGATTAATGTTTTTAGACAGACTAATAATTTGACCTGCTAACTTTCATCTAATAGTTTTCTGTTGAATTTGGGATATTTCACTCTTAAATTTGCAATGAACTCTAAAATTGAGTGTTAATTACTTATTTTATGTACATTTACTGTTATAAATGGAGATACGTAAATTGCTTGTGCAGCAGAAAATTTAGAATAAGCTAAAATATTTCCAGTGATGAACTTTGTGTGTTCTGCTGCCCACATGTGTTTTGGAGTGCTGTGAGCTTTGTACTCATGGCTTGGATGTTTGTTAACGTTGTTTTTGTTATATCCTTGTGAAGGTTAGTTTTATTTTCTTTGGTGGTGGTTTAACATTTTGCCAAACGTTTTCTGACTGTTCTATCATTGAAATGTAAATTTTTGTGGTGTTTCGAAGGTCTGATAAAATCTGATGAAAGGTTGTCTATGGTGGTTTTGCTCTGGAAAAAGTTCATATAGGTTCAGATCTTCAGTTGAGAGAGGTAGAGATGGAGCTATCTGCTGGTTCCTTCCACAAATGCCTGCCCAAGCCAGAGCTTGGTCAGGAAAAGCCAGGAGCTGGAACTCAGCCTGGGATTCCGATGGGGTGGCAGGGGTCCGCTGCCCGCCCAGTGTTGGCACTAGTAGGAAGCTGCACTCCGGAGCTCCAGGATGGGGCGCAGGCATCCTGAGCAGCATGCTGTGCCAGGCCCAAGGTTCAGCCTGGCTTTAGTTTTGGTTAGAACTGTTGAGTGTCATTCGTGTGCTCTCCCACCAGTCTGAAAATAAGATTTTGTTGGGAAAGTATGATCACTTAAAAATTTGAGTAGAAACAATTTTTTTTTTGCAATTTAGTGACAAGGTAGTTGTGAAATCATAATGTAATTCTTGAGTCTTCTGAGTTTAATAGATTCAACATTACTTCTGAGTGTAATAGACAAGCATTAGGTTTGTGATTGTATGTGTGTACACAGTGATCAGTTGCTAAGTGTTAGTGATTTTTTTGTTTAAGAAGAATACCTATCATTCATGTGGAGTGTCTAGGATATCTGATTAGGTAGAATTTCAGTAAACAAGAAGATTTACTGATTTGAAAGGAAAACTGACAGAGGTCCCAATGCTGGTTCCTTTGCTAAAGTGGCTTCAACAGCCAGGACTGGGCCAGGCCACAGCCAGGAGCCTGGAGCTCCATCTGGGTCGCCCCCACTAGAGCAAGTGTTCAACATATTTGGACCATCATCTGCTGGCTTCCTGGATGCGTTGGCAGGAAGCTGGAACTGAAGCATAACAGCTATATTCAAATTGGCATTACAGGCCGGGATCGGACATTCCCGTGTCAGATCTTAGCATTACAGGCTGGGAATGCGCATTCCTGTGTCAGGTGCTAGCGTTACAGGCTAGGACTGTGCTGTGCCACAGTACCTGCCCAAAGCTGAATTAAAATAATAAGGTGAACTTTCTGCCCTTGCTTTAACAGTATAGCAATAGTGATACCATTAGTAGCATTAAAAAATTATACCACCATGCATTGCAGTTTTGATATCTTGCTTAGAAATTGCTACATTCTTATACCTTGAAATACAATTGACAAAATTGGAGGAATCATTTAAGGACTTATTTGTTGTTTACTGAGTATTTTTTACCTCAGTTCTAAATGAGGTTTGAGAAAATTAGGAATAATTTTCCATGTGTGGCTGATTATCTGTTCATTTGTCCACTTTTTAATTTCTTAATCCCACTGACCAATTATTATTCAGTGTCTGCTGAGTCCTCAGTGGTTAAATGCTGAAGAATCAGGAAGTCATAGTATAGAGTTTTCATCCTTATGAAGTGTATTACCAACAAAGAGAGGCATGGGTGGTGAAGCAGTTTTGTACCTCAAGCAGAGGTGTCTGTGGGCTTTGAGTGGGAATGTGGCTCATGAAGGCTCAGGTGGCTCCTCAGAAAAATATTGTATAACCTGAGTCTTACAGAATGAGTGGTTCAGATCCGGCATAGTAGCCTAGTGGCTCGGATCCTTGCTTTGTGTGCGTCAGGATCCCTTATGGGTGCAGGGTTATTTCCTGGCTGCTCCACCTTCCCATCCAGCTCCCTGCCTGTGGTCTGGGAAAGCAGTCCAGGTTGGCTAAAGCCTTGGGATCCTGTATCCGTTTGGGAGACCTGGAAGAAGCTCCTGACTCCTGGCTTCAGATCAGTTCAGTTCTGGCCATTGCGGCCTCTTGGGGAGTGAATCACCGGACAGAATCTTTCTGTCTCTCCTCTCTGTAAATCTGCCTTTCAGTAAAAATAAATAAATTTTTAAAAAGTGAGTGCTTCTCGGAAGATGGCAGGTGAAGGAACCAGTGGCAGCCTGGGATCAGCTTTTGTAAAGGCACAGCACCCCGATCCTGTCCCCATCCTTGTGATTTGCTGTCGGCAACACCCGCATTGCCATGTACCCTGAGCTGAACGGGGAGACTAGGGTTACACCTTGGGTCATTCTCGTAAAGAGAATGCCACTTTATTGAACTGCAGTCTGCCTTTTATGCTCTCTAGTTCCTCCCAGTATTTTTCCAATGTTCAAGCAACTCCTAAGATTCCCCCAGGGGCATCTTGATAAATGGGAAGCAGGGAAGCAGGAACTTGTGATCAAGCCAGGGGCTAAATGTATCAGGCCAAGATTACACACCCTGTTAACCCTTGAGAAACAAACTAAGCTGTGGAATTAACCCTTGGGATATGAGGCCCTGCATATTCACCTCTTTTTCGTTTTTTAATGGACACCCATCTTAGGTTGTCCAGCAGTCAGTTGATGCCTTACCCATCATGGGGAGCCTGCCCGGGGCATGCAGGATCCCTGTCTTAGGTTGGTCATCAGCTCTGCCAGATCTTACCCGTCTCTGGCTGCCCATTACGCATCATGCTCAACCAGACTGAGCACTAGGGTTTTCCACAGCCAAGGCCATCATGGTTTGTCAAATGATGACCTGCCCCCCGGGCTTGTTGCCTGCATAGGAGGCAGAGAAGAGGAAACAGTACTGCAATCATGGCCACGACCATCAGTCCCAAGGCTAAGACTCCGCTCCATTCCTTAAACATCCGTGTTGCCAGTCTACTGCCATTTAGAATAACTTCCTCGACATGAGGTGCACCAGGGTCTCATTGACCTTAATAATGATGACAGCAAGCTGGTTGGTGAGATTCAAAAAGACAAACTTAACAATGTACAAGTATTGTTGAAAATACTAACATTCAAGAATCTCATAGTGCTAAGATGTTACATGTATACAAGTCAGTTTTATCAGGAACCAGAGACCCCAACTGCCTATCATCCCATCTGGCTCCTACATTTCCAAACAGAGATGGACCCCAAAAGTTTTTAGGGAAGAGGGGTGTCTTCGTCTGCTCTTAGCTACTTCCTGCTAATATGGGGCGCTGTTGGGTAACAGCAGCAGTAGGGGATCCATCCTGTGATTCCTGATAGAAGGCAGAAGTCGTCAGGTGTTTGATGTACATCCTGGCACTTGAAAGTCTTCTCTTTGTTGAAGTCCTGAGTAGTAAGTCCATTTGAATACATTCAGAACCATTCAGCTGAACAGACTTTGTAGGTCCTGAGAAAACAGAAACAGACATGCCTCTCCAAGAGCTTAATTGTGTTTCCATACATTATTTTCAAAAGGATTTAGCTTAGCAATTCACATTTATGAATATTTTCATCTGTAAGCCAATTAAGATAGACTACATAAACATGTACATGTATATCAGGTAATACATATTATAAAACAAAACAGCTTTTGTAACAGCTACTTGAGAATTCTCTTAAGTGTGTTAAAGTTGCCAATTGTGAGCCTTCGCCCTTAATACCCCCCTTTAAACATGAAGGAAACAATATGGAAAAAATAATAGTCTTACCCACTTTCCTGTAGCCCTTGAACCTTTTTACTGTAATTAACTATGTAAAGATTGTCAAAATATAATTTTAAAAAATGAAAAAAAAGTTGCCAATTGTTTAGAATTACATTTTGCTCTTAATAATCTGAATAAACCATACCTATAGTTTACTATTAAACTTTAGCTTTAATGGATACAATAGGTCTGCTGGAACTCTCGAAAACAAAGTATCTATGTTTAGCTCTGTGATACCACCTGTAGGATTTTACTCACTGGTGTACTTTTTGACACCACAACCAATGGTCACTTAGAGATTCAACAGTAAGAGGGAGTGTACCAACAAACCGTTTGTTCCTCTAGCACATGCCTTTCCTAGGTCTGTTAGTTCTTGTTCCCCTGCCTGGGGGAGAAAGTACCTCTTTTTGATCTGGTATTCAAACCTGAGGACTAAGGAGTTCTTTCCCTGTAAATTTTCATATCAACTATTCCTGGAGCCTTCCCGGCAGGATTGCATCTAGTCCTGGTTCCCCACTGGCAAGGTTTCTCACTGTGTTTTCTACAATTCCCCCCACCCCCAATTTGTTGGGTTTTTTGTTTGTTTGTTTGTTTACAGATCTAATCAGTTGTCTGTCCTGTAATTAACTTTACCAATTGAAAGATACAACCTTTGAAACACATAACACATTCTTCTGAGTTTGAGGCTGCTAGGGGCCCATCTAGAAATCTCAAAACCAGAAAAGTTAAGCCTATAAAATATGCCAAGAGGCCTTAAAGTATCTGATTGAAGATTCCTCATTATAATGTCCATCCTTTTAGTCAAACTGATTCAAACACTTATAAATGAACACCCAAACATTTCAAAGTAAATACGTATCAGAAAATACCCTTGGAAACACAGCTCTTTTAGATCATGAGAATTAAACACAGGAATTAGTG